CCTACCTCCCTGCCAGGATCTAGCAGGTGTCTTCTCTTGGGCAGGCAGCACAGCCCACCAGGCGAGCCCACAGTCTCAGCTGAATTCTCCAGGAGGACACCAGAGTGTTGCTGCTTTCTCTGCCTCATTCCCCACCTGCCTGCCTACCAGGTTGTTGGGCGGCTGCCGGCCCCTGGAAGCCAGGCAGTACCCTTGTGTCCTAATGCCAGGCCTTGCAATTACAGGTTGGCAGGCCCAGGGGTAAAGCATGCCAGCCAGCATGGCAGCTTGCTGGCGGCTAGTCTGTGCCTTGGGGCCTGCGTCCTGACTGGCTCAGCCATCCTAGGCGAGGAGTTGGTCTGTGAGGGAGGAGGATTAGTTATTAGCTCTGCCCAGGCACCAAGAACCCACAGGAGACGTTTGGCTTCTTCCTTCTTGGTGGGGTCTGGAACCCATTCTTTGCAGTCCAGAAATCAGTTACTGCCCCTTTGGAAGACTGAGACGAACCAAGTTTGAAGATACTACCTCCTCTCCCACACAGGGGCTGACCCTTCCCTCCGGCTCTTTCTCCATACCTGCCTGCATGTAGGGGAGTGTGCACGTCCGTGTGCACGTGTATGCACAAGTGTGAGGACATAGGCATGTTTGTGCACAGGCACATTGTGTGTGTGTGTGTGTGTGTGTGTGTGTGTGTGTGTGTGTGCGCGCGCGTACGCGCGCGCATAACTTGCTATCTTGCTATGGCTGTTATGAGACCACAAGTATGCATGGGCACTTGCTAGGCAGTATCACCAAGTATGTTCCAGCAAGCCTGTGCCAGTGTTCACAGTCATCATCTGTATGGTTGGTGTCCCTGCCACATGTGTTTTGACATTTCAAATGGTATCTCTGTTACCAGTATATGTGTGCACTTGTGGTGTGTGAGTTCTTTGTGTGCATCCCAGGTTATGAGTGTCCACATATGTGTGCACCTTGGTGAGTGTGCATGTGTGTGAGTTCTTGTGCATGCATGTGTCTGTGCATGTGTGCGTGGGTGCATGTGTGTGTGAGTGCGTGTGTATGGATGACCATATAAACATGGGTATCCTGTGCCTTTCTGGCCAGGGGTGACTAAGGCCAGGGACGTTCATCATTGCTGCTCCAGCTTGAGGGGGAAATCCTCTTGGTCTGGAATGGCAGAGGCCAGGGGCTAAGGGGCCCGATGTTTCTCAGGCTCCAGGCGGCTTTCTCAGATCCCGTCTCCCAGGGGGAGCTAAGTCAGGGTTCAAGGAGGCATGCACAGGCTCTGAGGAGACAGAGGCAGAGTCAGAGTTCCCTTCTGGAAGTCCCCTTTGGACTGGCTTCGGGAGGGATGGTGGGGCCTGGGAAACTAGGGAGGAGAAAAGGAGGGAGGTCTGGGCCAGGCCAGCAGCAGGGGGCAGGAGGAGGAGCCAGATTTGAGGAACACCGAGGATGCAGAGCAGACAGAAATCCGGGACTGGAGCATGTGAGGGTGAACAAGGCTGGCATCTGGCCTGGGTGATAGGGGATTAGTGCCATCCGTGAGCCAGAGGAGAGCAGCATGGCAGCTTACTGGTGGCTGGTCTGTGCCTGGGGCCTGTATCCTAGAGGGCTCAGCCACACTGGGCAGGAACTCTGATGTGGGGACAGGGGAGAGGATGAGTTTTGGCACCTGGTCAGTGTGGGGTGCCTCTGGTCATCCAGAAGAGGGTGTCCATGAGGGGCCCGGGTCTGTGGGGCTGAGACACCCATACAGGAGTAGCTCTGAACCGTCAGCTACATTCTATAAACCAGGAATTTTTTTTTTTTTTTGAGCAGGAGGCTCACTGTCACCCAGGCTGGAGTGCAGAGGCTACCACAACCTTGACCTGCTAGGCTCAAGCGATTCTTCTGCCTCAGCCCCCCGAGGAGCTGGGACTAAGGTCCAGTCAATTAATTAATTAATTAATTGTATCGATGAGGTGTCTCCATGTTGTCCAGGTTGGTCTTGAACTGTTGGCTCAGGCAATCCTCTTGCCTCGGTCTCCCAAAGTGTTGGGATTATAGGCATGAACCCAACACCTGAAAAGAGCTCTTTTTGTTTGTTTTGCTTTTTGATTGTGGAGCCCAAGTCTGAATTGGTCATGGAAGCCATGAAACTCCATGTTTGCTGGCCTGTGAGAAGCCCTGGTACAAAGAGAAGTCAACAGCCTCACAAGTACAGGCTGTTGGTGTTAGAGGAGCCTATTGGTGCATCTGGGCCACCCCATCTTCATATGGTTGGGGAAGCCAAGGCCCAGAGGTGGGAGCCTCTTCAGGGTCACCCAGCAAGGCAGGGTGGGGCCAAGCCTGTTCACCTAGGACGTCACACCCCTTTGTTGCTGAGCCGCTCCTTGAGCTGAGGCAGCCCAGGCGGCTGCTGCCTCAGGAGACTCTGTAATTACAGGATTAGAAGGCGGCCTCTCCCCAGCCGGGCCCTCTGCCCCTCAAAGCTGCCGAGGGGAGACAAGGGTTTGGTGGCACAGTGCCGGTTTCCAGGTGTGTCTGAGGAAACCTGGCATCTTCGGGTGGCCTGTTCAGCCTGAAAGGCCTCATTGTGGCTGCAGCCTCCCTTGATGGGCTCTATTTTGGGGTTGGGATCCACCCTGCTCCAGCTGGAGGAAGGAAAAGGTGTATTTCAGTATGCCCTGTGGGCATGGGGTGGTGGCGGAGTGGGTGGAGGCGAAACAGGAGGGTTGGGAGGTGGTGCCTGAACTGTGTGGAGAGGGAGGATGCAGGGCCAGATGCTGAGGTGTGAGGAGAGGAGAGGCCTGGCAGTTCAGGTGCAGGTGGCCCAGTGGGTGTGAGCGAGCTGGGCTTTCATGTGGCCCAGGAGGCCGGTTGGCAGACCCTGTGAGACTGGAATGTGGGTCTGTGGCCTGCCTGGGCCCCGCCTGAGACCTGCCCACCAGAGATTTCCTGATTCCCACCCCTGGGCCTGGCTCCACATCCTAGGCCTGAAGGAGACCCACCCTGCCCTCAGGGGCCTCTTAGTTAGGAGACCAGAGACCACAGCCGAGGGCCAGAGACCACAGCTGTGGGAGTTGGATCCTCCCTCCACCAGAGCTGGGCTGTGCTCCTACCTCACCCAGCGTGATGAGCACGTCTTGGGCTCTAGTCTCTGCTCACGTGGGTCCTCTGCTGGCATGGTCTTGTGGCTCTTCGGGGCCCGTCCTGATCCTGACTGTCCTTCAGGGCTCTGCCCAGGGGCTCCCTGCCTACCCTCTGATTCCTGTATGCCAGTCTCACCAGGTACCATGACTGCTGGAGTCCCCCCAGAGCTCTTCCTCCCAGTGGCCTCTTCACCCTCGCTCGTGCAGAGGCCAGCCATAGGGGTGAGGGGCTCCCCAGGAAGTGGCTTGATGTGTGTGTGCTCTTGGGCCTGGATTTCCTACTCTGTGAAATGGGTGTAATAACATCTGCCTTATCAGGGCATCTGACCTGAGGAGTTAGACGGGGTAACAAGAGTGGGCATGGGGCTGGGTGCAGTGGCTCACACCTGTAATCCTAGCACTTTGGAAGGCTGAGGTAGGAGGATTGCCTGAGCTTAGGAGTTCGTAACCAACCTGGGCAACATAGTGAGACCTTGTCTCTACAAAAAATAAAAAAATTAGCTGGTTGTGGTGGTGTGCCTATAGTCCCAGCTACTCGAGAGGCTGAGGTGGAGGGATTGTCTGAACCCAGGAGGTCAACACTGCCCTGAGCCATGATTGTGCCACTGCACTCCAGCATGGGTGACAGAGTGAGATGCTTGACTCAAGGGGGAAAAAAAAGAGGTCATGGCTGGTACGTAGTAGGTGTTGAGGCCGTGGTCCTTGGGTTACTCTGCCCTGGGTGCTCCCAGGCTTCTGAACATCAGGTCTTTGGGTGCCTGAGTCTGGGCTGTCCTGGGCACAGACCCGTGATTCCAGGAATGACTAATTCTACCCCAGCAATAAGCTCTTAGAAGCTCTGAGAAATGAGACTTTCCCCCCCTTTCTTCTTGCTGCTTCATTAAACTCTTCTTGAGTGAGGGGAATGAGGATTGTCCTAATCCCTTGGCACGAGGTGGGGGCGGCGGGCTCAGGGCTTGTGGTTACTGGAGGACATTGGGAACAGGGCAGGGGGTGGATGCTGGGCAGGGGCCGGAAACCTCATGTTGCAGACTGGCTTTGCCCTGGGTGTCTGGTGACCTCAGACAAGCCCTGGCCACGACAGGTTAGTTTTCACCGCCTGCACAATGGGTGTGCTAGGCCTTGCTCAGTGCCCTGAGCTGCTCTAGGGGTCTGGGATGGGGATGGTTTCGGAGGGGCCTGGGCCAGGCAGGCTGGCAGGCACACAGTAGGTGCCTTTTCAGTGTATGCAGGCCTTAGGGGAAAGCAGGGGAGGGGTGGGCAAGCTCTGTGCAGTTCTTTGGCCTTTGTCCTCCCAGAGTCTGTTTCTCCATCTTTAAAAGTGGAGAATCAGCCGGGCTCGGTGGCTCAGCCTGTAATCCCGCACCTTTGGGAGGCTGAGGTGAGTGGATTGCCTGAGCCCGCGGGTTCAAGACCCGCCTGGGCAGCGAGACCTCATCTCTACAATAAATCAAAAAAATCAGCCGGTGTGGTAGCGCATACCTGTAATTCTGGCTACTCGGAAGGATCGCCGGAGCCCAGCAGGTCGAGGCTGTGGTGGCCGGGAGCGGCCACTGCACTCGTCTGGGTGATAGAGTGAGACTCCAACTCAAAAAAAAAAAAAGTGGAGTGTCCTGGCTCCCTCCTATGGGGGCCCGGTGGGTGACTTCAAGGGCTGGGCACTCACCTCTGGGTCATGGCTACCAGCTAGGCCCAGATGGGACTGTCTGCCCACCCCAAGGCTGCTGGAACTGGAAGGACAGTTTCAGACCTTGTATACCCCAGCGAGTCTTGCTGATGCCTTCCTCTGCGGAGTCTTGGTCTCTCCTCTCCACAAGGGAAGAGAAGGTGCGGGGAGGGGTCAGTGACTGGAGTCTGGGAATCCTCACCCAGGCTGCCCTCTGCCCACAGGTGTTCCTGGCCCTCGGGGAGCTGCTTCTGTCCTGCAACTGGGCAGTGGTTGCTGACATCCTGCTGGTAGGTGTGGGAGTCTGGGTGGGGGGTTAGTTTTGGGGCCTCTTGAGCAGGGGGAGTTGGAGTCTGTCCAGCTCAGGACTGGACCTCTGCTGTTAGACACCTTGGGGGCTGGGAGAGGCTTCAGAGACCATGTGGCAGGCGACGGAGGTCATTGACCTCGGACCAGAGGCCTCTCGGGCACTCTCAAACATCTCCTCTGACTACGTCCCCCGTTTTGCAGAGAAGCAAATGGAGGTTCAGAGAGGGCAGGCGCTAGGACCAAGGTCACATAATCTCAAGGCATGGAGCCAGGGCTGGAATCTTAGACTTTTTGATCCCAGGGCTCCTTCCCTTTTTCTTTCTTTTCCTTTTCTTTTTTTTTTTTTTTTTTT